ATTAGCCTTTGTATGGAAAACATTGTAATTCTGTTCGGCACCTCTATTTCTGCCTATATAAATGATCTTCACTTTCCCCCCGCACTGGGAGTACTGATTGCCGTTCTTCGGTGTTCGTGTGTCCCCAGAAGACGGCTCTTACGTGCCATGCTTGCAAAAACTCTTTTAACCAGATCCTGAGCCTTTTGATTATTTTAGGTTGACAGGCACTGGATTAATCTTCTAAAATTTCTCCTTTCTCTCTTTCATCTGCTCGAAAACCTCCAGAGGACTCTATTCTGTCTCTAGCTCTTTAGGTGAGTTGTGTGGTTCAGAGCGGGAACCTCATAGCTATTTGTTGAATAAATCCAGCTGGACAGTTGGCATCTAGGAGTGCTGGCCTGCGGTTCAGTCCAGACTCCACTATCTGCCCCTTTCTGGGTCACTGGGCAGAGCAGAAAGCACTTGGACTTCAGGCTCAGGCAGACCTGGGCTGACATTTCAAAGCCCATACTTTCATTCCAACTTTGTGAGCTCTGATAACTTCCCTAACTGCTCTGAGCTTTGTTTTCTTCACTCTACAGTGGGATACTTGTAACTGCTTTGTAGTGTGGTTATAAGGATGAAAAGACACGACGATATGGGAAGCACATAGTATAATATTTGGTGGCACATAGTAGGTGGTCAAATAACATAGTAGGTGGTCAAATAACATAGTAGGTGGCACATAGTAGGTGTCTATCTAATTTGGGCATATAGATTTGTGTGTGTGTGAGAGAGAATTAAGTAAAATATTGTATACCAAGTGCCAAGCTTGGTTCTCTGCACATAATAGATGTCAATAAATATTACTTCATGTGACCTTTCTCTGTCCTCTGCAAACATTGTTTTTCACATGGACTGGCCTCTTCCCCACAGGCATAAGCAACACAGTGTTCGTATTTTCCTTCTTGTCTCTCCTCTCTCCTTCATCCTAGATATCCTCCTAAAACAAACCTCCGCAAAGAAGGGCGAACTAGGAAAACAAACAGAACTTGCTTCTTATGTTGGAGAAAACTGCATGCTAACTGATTTGAAGTACAGTAATCCAAACACGGGCTCCTCTTGAATTCATCAAATCCTGTTTTGTGACCCGGTGCTTCATTTACCTAGGATGAAGTCACCACAAAGCTTGTCTATTGCTATGGAGCGGTGGTTCCGTCTTCCAAGGGTGGTCCCCAGACGAGCAGCATCAGTGTCACATGGGAACTTGTTAGAAATGCAGACTCCCCGGCCTGACCCCAGGCCACTTGAATCAGAAACTATGGCGTGGGGCGTGGAAATCTGCATTTTTGCAAGCCCTCTGGGGGTTGCTGGTTAAAGTTTGACAACCGCTGGTGGAGATGTTATGAAAATAGAAGCAGACAATATTTTTAGCATAGAGGTGTACAAACTTCAGTCTTACAGGTTTTAGAAATGCAATTTGGCTCTTTGGGTTGACGTTTTGTGTCATTCAAACTCATTTCTTTGGGGATCCAGCACTTGGGACAGGCCTGTTGTTGGCTGTTGCATTTCTGAAGTTGTACCCAGTTCTCCTGAGCCCACTTCTGTTTCTGAGTGTTTTCTTGTGTTTATCCTCTTTTTTTTTGTCACCCAGGCTGGAGTGTAGTGGCGCGATCTCGGTTCACTCCAACCTCCGCCTCCCGGGTTCAAGCAATTCTCCTGCCTCAGCCTCCCGAGTAGCTGGGACTACAGGCGCCCGCCACCACACCCAGCTAATTTTTGTATTTTTAGTAGAGATGGGGTTTCACCATGTTGGCCAGGATGGTCTCAATCTCTTGATCTCATGATCCGCTCGCCTCAGCTTCCCAAAGTGCTAGGATTACAGGCATGAGCCACCTTGCCTGGCCTGTTCATCCTCTTTTTCTGGAAAACTGTCTCCCACTTTCCTGCCCATCCAAGTCTTCCGAATCTTAAGTTCCAGACAAAGTCTTTTTGATGGCCCCTCTATATCTCTAAGGCCCAGTCACTTACCCCTCCACTGAGTTACATGACCTCTTTTTCTGCTCTCAGCTTTTTGAGGGTGGAAATTTCTTCTTTTCATCTCTGCATTCCCCATCCCCTTGAGAAGGGCTTTGGTATAACAGGAGTTCAGGAATATCAGACACTTAGAGTAAGTCACCAGGACAAGGTAAGCCATGCCTTGGAGAATATCACCCACATCTGTATAGAGTTACAGGGAAGGGTCCCCATGGGTCTCATTGACTGTATATGGGACCAAGTGGTGGCTGACTGGTTGTCATGGCTGAACAGCCAGTGGGACCAGCATGGTTTACACGAAACTCCTGGGCAAGAAGATTTTCTGGCCATCTACTGGCAGCCTTTCAATCTAAACTCATCAGAAATCCCACTGTACAGCCCCCACTTAAGAGTGATAGGAACTGTTACATCACGGAGCGAGTCCAGAGGAATATTTCTGGGATGGCAAGGGGATTTAGAACCATGCTGAATGCAGAACCATGAGTGAGAAATCTCACATCTGCCACAAAGAGCTGAGAATGTGGCAGAATGATTAGATTTATCCTGTATGGGACACCATGGGGAGAACTGGAAAGTAAATGAACTACAGGGCCAACTCTCTGACTTACTTGCCAATGTATTGCCAGCCTCTGGCTCAGTCCCTGGCTGGCACAGAGTAGGTACTCAATAAATGTTTGTTGAATGAATGAATGAATGAATGACCCAAAGAAAGCTATAGGGAGAGGTAACACAAAGGTAGATTTGTGAAGACTTTCTAATAATTCTCTATAATGTGAGTGCCTTAAGGCTGAGCTAGCTGCTGTTAATTTTCTGGATACCAGTGTCTTGCACAAAGCGTGGGAAGCTGCTTGTAAGCCACAGGAACTGATGGTGTGAGTTCTCCTGGAAAATGGTGGACTGGATGACTAGTTAGAGGAAGGCCATTAAAGGGGATTTAATGCAAACAGGTACTAGACTAGAGGATCCTGAAGTCCCTTTCGTCCTGGAGATGCTATGTTTTAGGGCCAGCTGAAACACACACTTGCTGCTTCAAGGGCCCTCATGGTGAATTCATTCATCTTAGGAATGGGGTCAAAGTAGCATCTTTGTTAGCGTAGACTGGAAGCTGGCTAGCTGCCCTTTTCCAGGGTTTATTGAACAAATGGTCACTGGCTTGTTTTAGAAATAAGGGAGGCTATAAAGCTTCTGATGCTCTGAGTGTGTCTGAAGATTAAGGAAATTTAAATTTTGTTCTAGAGTCTCCCAAGCAATGGACAATCAAGGTAGGTGCATTTCAAAGAAATGCAAAAATATTTCAAAAGATGAAAGATCAAAGTTCTTTAGTATGTATCTTCTGTAAACAAGGGTGATGAGGGACTCAATCTGGTGAGAGGGTCAATAGAAAGGAAAGAGGCCTGGGAAGGTGGGTGAGGCCCTGAGAACAGACACCATAAAGTGTTAATCACTGCCTGCCTTAATTAGCCTGTAGACTTCAGTACACAGAAGCATAATTTTATTTCCTGAAAATTGCAAACCATCAGTTTTATTATGAGCCTTTTTTTTCTCACTCCCCAAACTGCTTATCTGTTTCACGTATGCACAGGGAAAGTCTTCATTGCTAACATCTGTTTTATAGGTTGTGTATTCATTTTAATTCAGTTCAAAATACTTAAAATTTTTTTTATTTGATTTCTTCTTTAACCCAAGGAGTATTAAAAAGTGTGTTAGTTTTCACAAACCAAGGTCAATTTGGAACTTAGGTTTCACTTTCAGTTTTCTAACAATTTGTATGAAGGAACTTTCCACCTTTTTTCTGCCACTTTCCTTCAAAAGAAACCTGGCTATTTATTTTTCCTTATACTTGAAAGTCATCTTCCAGGACAGATCCCTAGCTTTCACTCACCTTTACCTCAAGATCATGGTCCTGGCATTCAAGGCTTTTCATAACCTGGACTCAATGCAACTTTCCAGGGCTTGGGGATAATGTCTCCATTATAAACACCAACACAACTAGACTATTTTCCATTTTCCAAATGTTTGGTTGTGTTTATTTTGTTCTCTCCGAGAGAAACTCACTCCCCAACGCTTTATGGAAAATATAATTCAATACACATTTGGAAAATCCCCTACTCCATGAAGTCTTTTTCTGGTCTCTCAGTGAGCTCTCTTCCACCTCAAAATCTTTGCAGCTCTCTTTTTAAAAAAATACCTCCTTTTACTGTCTTCATAATATCAAGATCATTTACTTTCTTATCTCTCTTATTGAAATCTAAAATCCCCTTCTTACAAGACAGCCTAGATGTGTGTTTGTCCCACACTGGGCACTCTATAAATATCTATCAAAACAAACAAATCATGATTTTTCTCTTTCTGAAATGTGCCTGATTGACTGATATTTTAGGTTTTGCTGCAGTGGGAACAGTCAGAGGTAGGAAAAGAATGTGGGAGTGAGAGAGACTTGCAGGAAATTTTAGGAGTCTTTAGTTCTAGATTATTTCATACACATAAGCTGACAGAAGGGAAAGATTCCACAGCCACAGAAAGTGGACTGCTTGAAGAAGACCTTGTTTTCTCTGTTTTCCAGGACCCTGCAGTGATGGGAAGCAAGAGGTTAGGGCCTCTTTCATGAGCTCATTAACTCTTTATATGAAGCAAAAACCACTGACTAATAGAGTGATTGTATAACAATTGACATAAATATTAATGAGGAAAATGCCAGTTTTCTTGCACCAACACCCACTAAGGCTTATATAAGGTCTTCAGGAGGAGGAAGATTTTGGTTTCAGGCAGATCCAACTGTGGGCAAAGCAGGATCTCGCCTTTTAGCACCATGACTTCTGACCATTGCAGTTCCCTCCTCGGCGAGCAGGTTTCAGAGGCCAACGCTGCCTCCCTGTGCCTCTTGGCTAATGCGGCACATGCCAACCGAGTCCGTGTGGGGTCGACTCCCCTGGGCCGCCCCAGCCTCTGTCTGCCCCCAACCTGCCACACCGCTTGTCCCTTGCCAGGGACCCGCCACATTCCTGGCAACATTGGAATCTGTGGGGCCTACAGCGAAAACACCCTGAACGGACACGAGAAGGAGACTATGCAGTTCCTGAACGACCGCCTGGCCAACTACCTGGAGAAAGTGCGCCAGCTGGAGCGGGACAATGCAGAACTGGAGACCAAACTCCGTGACAGGAGCAAGTGCCATGAGTCCAGTGTGTGCCCGGACTACCAGTCCTACTTCTGCACCATCGAGGAGCTCCAGCAGAAGGTGAGGTTTGCGGTGCACCAGATCAGGGTTCAGGAATCTACTTACTGCCTGTCGGCCAAATCCGGCCAACCACCTGCTTTTGCAAATAAAGTTTTATTGGTTCATGGCCATGCTCATGCATTTGTGTGTTGTCTGCAGCTGCTTTTGTACTACAGTGGCAGAGTTCAGTCATTGTAATGGAGACTGTATGGTCTGCAAAGCCTAAAATATTTACTATCTGACCCTTTACAAAAAAAGATTACTGACCCTGGGTCAGCAGTGGATTTTTTTTTTTTTTTTTTTAATGTGGGAAGAGAATCTCTTGAGTGAAGGTGAATGGGAATTTGTAAAGGGTGAGATGTGGAATTTATCTCTCCAGGATTCTGAGTTCATGCTTACTTAACTTCAGCACATCAAATCCCTAAATCATAGTCACAAAAACCATGCTAATTTCATGAAAACCATGCAAAAACCGTGCTGTGTTTATGACAGTTGCTGTATGCTGAAACTTCCAGTGCAGTAAACAGGGCAAAAGGAGTATTTCCTAACATCCTTGCCAAGGCAGTGTCTATCCACACAACAGCATCAGCATCTTATGCATATCTGTTGTCACCTTTGATTATCCAACTAAAGCTTCTGAAGAGCCTACATCTTAGTTTCAGAGCCAGGAAGACAAGGAATGTCAAAATAGGGGTTACAGAAACCTGGCTAGATTCAGAGAAGACCTGTGGGGAGGTTGGACAACCAGAGGAAAGAACTTCTTTAGAACAGATCCTACTTTATCTAAAACATTCACAGTTAGTCCACTGTTCTGTGGCCTAGATTCTGGATTTTTTTGTTTGTTTGTTTGTTTTTGAGACAGCGTCTCACTCTGTCACCCAGGCTGGAGTGCAGTGGTGCAATCTTAGCTCACTGCAACCTCTGCCTCCTGGGTTCAAGTGATTCTCGTGTAACAGCTTACTGAGTAGCTGGGGTTAAAAGCGTGCACCACCACTCCTAGCTAACTTTTGTATTTTTAGTAGAGATGGGGTTTCACCATATTGGCCAGGCTGGTCTCGAACTCCTGACCTCAGGTGATCCACCTGCCTTGGCCTCCCAAAGTGCTGGGATTAAAGCTGTGAGCCACTGCACCTGGCCAGATCTTCTTATTTATATTGGGCTAAGCATCCTATCTGGCAAAATGAAAGCAAATCTTTGTTATATGTTCAGTTTGCTACTGTCTTCCATCTCCTGGTTCCTTTGACTCTATGTCTTCATCCTTTTCCAAGAAGTCTCTTGCAAATCTTTCTTCCCACACCACGAAAACATCTCTTGCATGTTTGGGAGTTTGTGTTGTCCAGGGGGATGCTGTAGGTTCAACTTCAGCCAATAAAACTTCCTCTCACCTGAGGCTATAGGCGTCTCTGGGATCAGTAAGTCACTTATTGAACCTATTTTCTTATCCCAGATTCTGTGCACCAAATCGGAGAACAATAGGCTGGTTGTGCAAATAGACAATGCCAAACTGGCCGCGGATGACTTCAGGACCAAGTGAGTTGGGATTGGACGGGGATGGGAAGGAGCCAAGTGAGTTGGGGTTGGATGGGGATGGGACAATGCCAAGTTGGCTGCTTCTGTCTCATGTGGCATCGGATGTCATCGACCCAGACCCCAACCCAGTAGTTACAGCAGGAGAGAACAAAAGGCATTAAGCTCAAGATCCTGAAAAACTATCCACTCTCCAGTGGTTTAGCATTAACAGTTTACAACATGTGCTAGAATGCATCATCCATCTGGTAAGAAACTTGTGAAGCAGGGGGGCAGGGATAGCATCTCCTCTGCAGGTGGGGACCCTTGAGGCTGGGGGTGCTGGTGTGACTTGCCAAAAACCATGTGGGTACTGAGTGGCAGAGCTGGGACTTGGCCTTAAATTTTGTACCAAATTTTCCTTTATTGAGGCAATTTCCTGAGAAACTGTTGCTTTAATAAGGATATGTTTCTGTGCTGCAGCTTGATTAATTTGTGAGTGCTGATAATTCATAGCAGAAATCATGCTCCATAGCCTGAGACAAAAACATGTGAAGGTCAAAGGGTTGACACCACCTAAGGAGGGTCTACCTTGGGTGCTGGAAGGGGCACTGGGTTTTATCATCTTTCTTCAGGGCACTGTGCAAGTCTCACTCTTCTAGAGCTAAAGAAAGCCATTTCCTTCCTCTCACTCTGGCAATGTGGCTTTTACTCTAAGAGGGAATCCAGGGTCCCTTTGAGTATGGGGCTTGTGGAGAGGGGTCTGCAGTGATTCCACCGTGTTGCAAAGACCTGGTTACTTTGCCACCTCCCTTTTGGGCCATCTGTCTGTAAAGGCAGGTGCTGGCTGTGTGTCCATCACAGTATCCTCAGTACCAGCTGCTCCCCCTGGTTCATCTCAGGTGCTTAGTATTGACTGAGTGGGGAATATTCTGTTGCTTTCTGGGCTTTGAGCACACTACACAGGAAAAGCCAACTCACAATTAGACGGCAAAGGGCAGAACAGTGGACTTACAGCTGCGAGCTGGGAGTCATGTCCTGGTGCCCCTTCCTGCTCTGTAACTGTGACTCCTGCACTTTCCCTGTTACAGGTATGAGACAGAGTGCTTGCTGCACCAGCTGGTGGAGGCTGACATCTGTGGCCTGCGCAGGGTGCTGGACAACCTCACCCTCGCCAAGTGTGACCTGGAGGCCCAGCTGGAGTCCCTGAAGGAAGAGCTGCTTTGCCTCAAGAAAAACCATGAGCAGGTGTGTGACCCCTGGTGTGATGCATTGAGACTTTCTGGAGGTGAATTCAGGCTCATCTGGGGGAAAAAATGGAGGCTTCCTTCTGCCTGGGATTGAAGCTTTGCAGGTGAGCTCTGGCTTTTGGTGGGAGATTGCTTCTTGTCCACAGCTTCTGGAAGCTGCTGGGCTGGTGCAGGCAGCGGTTTATCTTCAGAGGAGCACAGGGAAATTACTGGGGAGGATGGAAGGTGGGAGTTGAGAGTTTGGGTGAAGGGCAGTGGGGGGCTCTGCAGGCGGGTCATACTCCTCTGATGCCTACAGGAAGCCCGCACTCTGAGGGGTCAGCTGGGAGACAAGCTCCGGATTGAGCTGGACATTGAGCCCACCATTGACCTGAGTAGGGTGCTGGGGGAGATGCGAGGCCAGTATGAGGCCATGGTGGAGACCAACCGCCAGGATGTGGAGCAGTGGTTCCAAGCCCAGGTGAGGGGGACTGCTAAGCAGTGGGGATTGGCCTCTATCTGGGCAGGTAGGTGACCGTGTCTCTCCGTGCTCCAGTCTGAAGGCATCAGCCTGCAGGCCATGTCCTGCTCCGAGGAGCTGCAGTGCTGCCAGTCGGAGATCCTGGAGCTGAGACGCTCGGTGAACGCCCTGGAGGTGGAGCTTCAGGCTCAGCACACGCTGGTGAGTCCCTCTGTATGCATAGGAGACCCAGCTTGGCTCTCACTACCCATGAGCAGCTCTCTAGGGTCAGTACAGGCCTCAAACACCAACCACGGACTCAGCTTAAACTTTGGTTTCATCTCTTTTTTAAAGCACTTCCCTGTAGATGTGGATGTTGAGTGAATCAACATTAACTCAGGTCAGAGGGCTCTGATCTTATAAAGGTCTACCACGAAGAGTGTTAGTTATTCTGGCCGAGGACAGCTAAAGGGAGTTAGATTGCACTATGGACCTGGCAATGTCTTGGGGTGTCACAATCTTAAGAGGTTGGAGGCAGAGATCCATGAGTTTTAACTAGTTTCCTTCTTTCTTTGATATTATAGAAGGACTGTCTACAGAACTCCCTGTGTGAAGCTGAGGACCGCTACGGCACAGAACTGGCCCAGATGCAGAGCCTCATCAACAATGTGGAGGAACAGCTGTCTGAGATCCGGGCCGACCTGGAGCGGCAGAACCAGGAGTACCAGGTGCTGCTGGACGTGAAGGCCCGGCTGGAGAATGAGATTGCCACGTACCGGAACCTTCTGGAGAGTGAGGACTGCAAGTATGTGCCCTATTGTTGTCTATGTTAACACCGTGTGCAAAAACAGATAACTTCTCTTGGGAATGACTTAAAAGGAGCTCTGGAGGCCTGGTGGGGGTGGCATTGCCAATCCCATCTTTGGAGACAAACTTGCTACCAGTAGGCCTGGTGAGCTAATGCCTGCCTAGACGTAGATGAGGGTGTGCGGGAGTTTTCAGGTCATGGCATTTGTTTTGCTGACAACGTTGTGCTCCCAGTTGCCGGCTACTCCCAAAGGGGGCTAAAATACTGAGTGCCCAGCACATTCAGGTTTTGCTAAATTCTCTCTAGGAGAAGTATTCCAGTAACGAGTATTCTTTGTGCTGATAGCATTTAAAGTATTTCTAAGGGCATGTGCACTTACTCTTTCATTTTAGTTCCCTGTGAAAAGGGTCAGAGGGCTGATATACCCCTTTAAGCACTAAGGAACACTATGAGGGGCTGTGTTTAAATGGAATCAGTGGATGACATCTGGGCAGTTCTTGTTCCTCTGGCCTTTCTGCCTTTCTGCTGTGTTCCTTCCACGTGGGACGTGACCCTGGCCTGGTACACAGGTACACTGAGTTCTGGCCCCAGCTCCACTGTGGACTATGGGCACGTCATTGCCCCTTTCAGGCTTAGAGGGACCTCTAAGGTCTAAAGTCCTCTTTCGCTCTTTAATTCTAACGTGTCTATAATATACTTTTGTCTTTCACATACTTCTCATGCCAATGTTTCAAACATCTTTTTTCTCTATGCAGATTTCCCTGCAACCCATGTGCGACCCCAGCCTTCAGCACTGCCAGTCCAGCCCCAGCAGCCTGTGCCCCCTGCTCCCGGGCAACCCATGGGCTCTGCTCATCAACTGGATACTGACACACTCCTCAGCCCAAGGTGCTGGGAAAGGGGAGGTGTCTTCAGCTCGTTAGGCTCTGCTCTGCAGGCCTGCTACCTGGGCCTTGCCTCCTTGGCCAGCCAGGCAGGAGACTGAAGAGAGACAGTGCCACTCTGTGGATAGGTGTTTGAGTCCAGCAGCTCAGCCCCTATGACTGAATTTGTGTTTCTTCCCCTCAAGGTGTCTCGAGTGCGCCATTTTCTCTCTTCTGTTGCCTCCTGATCTCTCTGAGATGGGGCAGGCACCCTTGTTTTTATTTTGCTATTAAACTTTGCTTCTGTAGCAGAATGAGCCCAGCGCAGTCTGGCCTCAGCATCTCCATCCCATGCTGAGAGCCTTGCTGGGAACTCTTTGAGCCACATGCTTCTGTAGACGGGGGTTGTGGCTGGTTCACCAGAGTGGTTCTGGGAGATGGCAAAGCCAGTGAAGGCTGGAGTTAAAAATGGGACGCGGCAAAGTGGCACAGAGGAGAGATACCCAACCTTGGACTTCACCGAGTGTATTTGGAGACAGGTTTACAGATAGAACTTTTAAAATATAGACGCTAAGTAAAATTTCCCTTTTATCTGGATAAGCCACCTGGTCCTTGTGTAAAGGAAGAGCTCAAGTCTGCGGCACCACAGCCACTGCAAAACTCTGAAAATATTAAGTGATGGTAATTGCTATCAGTCTAGAAAGACCCAAACAACCTGACCCATCCAAGCCCCCTAGTAAGCCCCACTGGTGGGTCCTGGCAGCTGTCTGGCTTGGAATTTGTAGACAATAGAACATGAACCAGAAGCCCCAGGACAGGTAACTTAAATTGAGCTTTTAGAATGACATGCCCATTATGAGCAAGGTACTGGCTGGGGCTTCGCCGACATTGTGTCACAGGGCCCCACATCAGCCCTGCAAAGAAGCAGCAGCTGTTATTATTCTCTGCTGGTGGCTGAGTCAAGACTTGAAACCCAGTCTCTTTGAACCAGATCCAAAGCCCGTTCTTTGGAAGCTTTGAGGGGGAAACAAATTGAACATGAGAAGGTTTAGGGCAGTGGTTCTTAAAGCGTGGTCCTCCAGCCGGTAGCACTGGCATTACCTGAGAACTTGCTAGACATGCACATTCTTGAGCACCAGCCCTGACTTTCTGAACCAGCAGTCTGCTTTATCACGACTTGCAGGTGATTCTGATGTTGGTTCAAGTTCGAGAACCACTGGGTTAGGGGGTTTATTTGAGGAGTGAGCCCTTGACTAGCCAGATCCTCTACAGAAAGGGCTGACCATGCCCTCCTGATATGTCCTCCAGTGAGGAATCCTTCATACCATCAGATCAGGATAGAGCCTTTCTCTTTTACATTGCAAGACTCTGAAAATGTTAAATGATGGTTATTTCTATCAGTCTAGGACGAAAGGCCCAAACAAGCTGACCCATCCAACCTCCCCAATAACTCCCGTTGGTGAGTCCTTCTGGAAACTGCTCAGCTTGGAATTCGTAGACAATAGAACATGAATCAAAAGCTCCATATTTTGATATCCATGGTTGAGAATCAGCACATCCCCAGAATTCAGCATTACAGCTGGCCAGAGAAGCGGAGTTCCCCATCCTTGGAGACAAGCAGAGGCTTCAGAATCACTGGTGGGGATGTTGAGGGGAACACTTAGGGAACTGATGGGGCTGGTTGAGATGGCTGTAAGAGGTCTTCTAACCCCCACAACTCTGTGCATCCCTGCTTTATAAGTCTTATTGATCAGTGAATCCACAAGCATTGAAGTGGAATCACCAAACCTACTTTAGGAGCTGGTTTTGGTCTTCCCTTTCTGTTCTGTGAATTCTCTGAATCACTGTAGTTTGCTGAAAAAGTTACAAGTATAGCTGGTTCTGGTTTAATCCAGGTCTTCCTGATACAGAGCTGTGGTGCCGGAGTGATCACAGTCCCTAGCCCCAAGGCTGGAGGGAGCTTAAGTGAGAATCTGGTTGCTCTGCCTCCAACTGCTCTCAAGCCCAGCGTCCTACTTGTTGGTCACTGCTCATGTACATAGGACTGATCTGCTTGAGAGACATTAGGATTTACAGCATAGGAAGCCCAGGAAGGGTCAGAGGTGGCCACACCCTCCCTTCCTCTGTTCTTTTTCTCAAGTGGTAAAAGTGTTTTGGCACATGTGACACACCCTTTGGGCACCTACCCAAGAGAAGCTCTCAATAATGAACAGCGATCTCGATTAGTCTTAATTTAGCATCTGACCCAGCTGCCCTCACCTCCTTTGTACTTAAATAGCTCCTTTCATCCAACAAGTTCAAAGCTGTCTAACAAAATAAACCCACTTATTCTTGCACCATGACAGCGTAGGCAAGCATTGTCCTTCCCATTAAAGGGAGAGAGAGAGAAGGTGAGTCATTCAGTGGTTGAGGGATTCTGCTGGTGACATAAAGTGAGTCAGTGGGGCCCCAGGGTGATTGACCTGTGTTTCTTAAGTTCACATCCAGTGCTCTCTCATTTCTAATTAAAAGATTAGCTTTGATAAGACAGTACGTGTGTGTGTGCACACGCATCTGTGTGTTTGTTGTATGTGAAGAGTTTCCCTGGAAACCACACAGGTCCTCATTACCATTACCATCACCAGAATCATCATCATCATCATCATCATAAAGTCATATAGCTTCATCATCATCATCATCGTCATAGAAGCATATATCCATCAAACTCTTACTATGAGCCAGGCGCTGGTTTACATTATAGCTACAATCATATGGGTAAACTCATTTAATCATTACAGCAATCCTAGAAAGCCAACGCTATTGTTTCCTCATTTTGCAGACAAGGAGCCAAGACTCAGAGAGGTTAAGTAACATGCCCAAGGTCACACAGCTATTAGGTGGTAAAGCCAGGATTCAGATCCAAGCAGCCTGCCTCCGGCAACTGTGCTCTTAACCACTGTGCTTTACAGAGGCCAAGTCTCAGATTTTGTCAACAGGATGATAGAATCATAATAACCCAATTGTTTTGATTCCTTTCCTTGAAGGAAATGAGTATGTTTATGTTAGAAGAAACGTTTCTGAGAATTTATACCACCAAGGGTGGTACAAGGAATGAAAGTTCTTTAGTATCACAGGATCTTGAAGCTTGAGGACTCTGGTAATTTTAATAAACTGAGAGTTGCCAAAGAAGCTCAACTCACCTCCTGCCATTGTAAAACCACCTTGTCTACTGAGAAAGAGGAGGAGGAAAATAGAATCTATAGATGTTCATTGTTTCACCATTTACAAAGTACTTGTTAAAGTACTTTGTGTTGTATCCAAATGGAGGCCCCAAACAACCCTGAGAGAGGGGAACAGGCATCACAATCCCCATTGTGCAGAGGGAGAAGTACAGGTGTAGGGAGGTGAAATGACCCCTCCGCACCTCACGGCAGGTGAGGGGCAGCTCCATGCACCCAACCCCAAGTCTTCTCATTTCTGTTCCCCTGCTCTTTCCCTGTTCCCAACTGTGAGGGCCTTGCTGGAGGTATATGTGGATAAAACTTCACATTCACACCACTCTGAAATCCTGGATGGATTTTACGGGAAAGGCATCCTAGGGTCTGGGATCTCGCTAAGGGTGATCTTCTCAGTGCTGTCCCCCATTAGCATTTTAGACTCAGCTTCTGACCTTTCGCCATCGCCTGGAGGCTCCCCCGTCTGATGCTGGTTATTGCATCCAAATGTCCCTTTCCCTTCTTCCTCCCTAGTTCTTGGACATCCTATACAACCTGCCTCAGTGATTCACATTGGTCTCCAAGGCCCTCTGCCCTCAGGAGGTCTCTCTGGTCTCAAGGGGGCACAACTGTGTCCACTCACCAGCAGGACTGCGTACTCCCTCTGTTTCCCTCTACCAGCCTTATTCCCCTTTCTATTTCCTCTGTCAATTTACTTGATTTACTGTGGTTACTTTTCTTTTTCTGCCCCACACCACATCCCTGGAATGATTTCTTATACTGCACCTGGCAAAAAGCATGTTTCATTTGCTTTGAAACTTACCTTGACTCCCATGGATCCTGTGGGGATGCCACAGGGCTGGAAGAGATGGGCCATCACCACTGCCTCTCCTGTGGTCTGCAAAGCAACAAGAACCAGATGCCGAAACAATTCATTACCCTGCCTGGCTGAAGACTAGATTATTAAAGGGAACAAGATTCTAATGAGAACAGTTCTCTGAATCCTGCTTGAGTCACTTAGAGAGCGAAGCACAAACAACTCTTTGGGATACAAGTGCATAACCTGAAATGGCTTCATCCCCTCGCCATGTGGCTGAAAATCATGAGCTGGATTGGAATGCCCTAAATGGGGTTTGGGTCAGGGGTGGGTGTAGGAAGAAATGGAGTGGGTGGGGGAAGGAGATATTTTTGGGTGAAGGCCCAATCACATTACATTATGTTAGCTGTGGACCTGTCTGCTTAGCAGGACTCAGAGTTCCCGGGTGGTGGGGACATGACATGCCCCCACTCCCCACAATGTCCCCCGCCCCTGGGACTGTAGATGTGCAGATGCACACAGTAGATGTTCAACAAGTGACTAATGCCCATAATGTCGCACGTACATTTTTCTTTTTATTTATTTTTAATTTTTAGATGGGGTCTTGCTGTTGCTCAAGTTGGAGTGCCGTGCATGATCTTGGCTCACTGTAACCTCAAATTCCTGGGCTCAAGCAATCCTTCTGCCTCAGCCACCAGAACATCTGGGACTAAAGTGTGCTCCACCAAGCCTGGCTCATTTTAAAATTTTATTTTATTTTAATTTTTTTTTTTTTTTTTTTT